GATCTGGACAGGCTGGATTGATGGGCCATGGCCAACTGTAGGAGGTTCAGCAAGGCCAAGTGCCTGGTCCTGCACTTCAGTCACAACAACCCCAGGCAACACTAGAGGCTTGGGCAAGAGTGACTGGAAAGCTGCCCGGTGGAAAAGGCCCTGAGGATGCTGGTTGGCAGCTGGCTGAACATGAGCCAGCAGTGTGCCCAGGTGGCCAAGAAGGCCAACAGCATCTTGGCCTCTATCAGAAATAGCGTGGCCAGCAGGAGTAGGGAAGTGATTGTGCCCCTGTACTTGGCCACACCTTGAATACTGTGTTCAGTTTTGGGGCCCTCACTACAAGAAAGATATTGAATTGCTGGGAGCGTGTTCAAAGAAGGGCAACAAAGCTGGTGAGGGGTCACTCTTGTCTGGAGAACAAGTCATATGAGGAGCAGCTGAGGGAACTGAGGTTATTTAGTCTGGAGAAAAGGAGGCTCAGGAGAGACCTCATGACTCTCTACAACTACCTGAAAGGGGGCTGTGGTGAGGTGGAACAAGCTGCCCAGGGAAGTGGTGGGTTCACCATCACTGGAAGTGTTCAAAAAACATGTAGATATGGCACTTCAGGACATGGTTTAGTGGGCATGGTGGTGTTGGGTTGACGGTTGGACTTGATGATCTTAGAGGTCTTCTTGAACCTTAATGATTCTATGATTCTATGATAACTAGCTGGACCCTCAGTGTTTTATGATTATTGGAAGCAATGACTGCAAAGATGTCAGAAGTCCTTCTCAGAGTAGAAATGAACGTCATTGGCATAATGTTGAGCATTTAATAGAGGCATTCATTTCAAAGAAGCTCCCAGACACAAAATGAAAAAATGGTGGTGATCTGTTTGTTTGGTATTGCACAACAGTATCAAAAGTCTGACCTGCCAAATTCTTGGTCAGAGAATGATAAAACTTCATAGCAACAACATTCGGAAGAGATTAACACTCCTCAAATATAAGGTAATAAAATAACTGTAAGGCAATCAAAAGTCTCAATTCATCCCAGGAAAAAAAACAAAAAAAAACCCAAAAACAAATAACCCAACAATTTGGAGGGGAGGTTGCCTATACTCAGTGCCTTGAATACACAGCAAAGGCATGCCTTGACCAGCATGTCAGAAAACTACACATAGAAAGAGATGAGATTAACCTTATTAGAACAGAATAATTCCTTCACACCAATATTGTTGGATAACAGACTGACGTGCACCCGTTTTGGGATGCAACAGCGCTAATGCTTTTGCATGAGTATCTATCTGCAGGTTGCAAACCTAAATGAACAAAAATATACTGATGATGGGAAGAAAGTGTACACAGTCATTTCACTGAGGAGTTACTGAAAAAAGTAATTATGCTATTATTTGGAAAGCACAAAAGTGTCTAGAATATATTTAATACACTTACCACAGTAAGTTTTCACTTTCATACTAAATTTTCTAACCCATAAAGTCTTCTATTTCCTTACTTTTTATAAACACCTTTTCTGCATAAATGCCGTAATGCAAAAATACTTTTCTCACTGTATGGGAGAACACCATTAGGAACATAATGACTCCCAGTAAGCTACCATTCAATGCAGATTATTTTAACTAAGTCAATTTTAGCACATATCTTCAAAAAACATGCTTAGTATTTCTACTTCAGAAGATGTCAACAACTGCAGCATCTACCTTGCCTTGTAATTATACAGTTACTCCTCACCTACACACATCCAGCCAAGGAATAAGAGTATACCCTTGCTACTCCATAGTACTTGGATTGCTAACATTCTTATTAAAACCAAAATTAAAAAAGGCTTTGAAGTGGATAAGTAAATACACCCTAAACAAAATTTCTCATTTCAAAAGTCATTGACAGGCTTATGAAAAATAGAAAATATGTCTGTTTTCTTCCGTATATAAATAAGTGAAGAAAGAGGAATGAAGACAGGGAAAGAAACAAAAGAGAATAAAGAAACTTACTTAATTTCTTAAGAACATCCTTCTTCTCCTCTACTTTTTCATGGGCCGGTTCTTCTGTAACTTTAGTTTCTTGTTTGGGTAGAAGATTATTCAGATAGTTCATAGCATTCAGCAGAGCTTCAGTATGCAAATGAACATCTAGAGATGAAAAGTTCACCTAAAAGAACAAATTGTGTATCTCCAATATGCCTCTCTTCCCACAATGAGACAATTATGTTAAAAAAAGATACGATACCTTTATTCTCTGTAGAACATTCTGATAGACAGTTTTCAGTTCCGGTCCATTAATATCAGCCTATTTCACCAAAAGTGCATGTAAAACAAATAAACAAATCAGAAGTTTGCAAATTTCATTACAGAGAATTTGTTTCTAAATAAGTAAATCTACAACTTAGGATGTACAACCTAATCCATTTAGGGAGCAGACAGACTTTGCACAGGACACTCAATATGTTAAGGAATTAATAAGTATGGAAAAACCTTCAACAATTGCTCAGTAATACTGTACTGTTTATGATTGGCTTACAATTCCAAAGCCATCTCTGCTCTTTTCTCACCTTTATGTACTCCAGAGTGAGAAGATCATCTTCTACGTTATCCAAAGTAGTAATTATGTAAACTGGCTTGTCATTATCATCTTAAAAAAAAACCCAAAAGAATTAAGAAAAAAATTGTCAAATTTTCTACAACTCTTTTAAGCATCTATATATAAACTAGACTACCATAGCTGTCGTCATTATTTAATCACAAAACCTCTTCTGCAGACCTAAAATAGTTAGATGTCTCTACTAAAATCATCAGCACTAAAACATGTTTACTAAAGCATTACACCAAGAGAATGAGTTCCTGAATTACTTTTCCCTTCCCCTCTCCTCACATTCAATTTAGAAAGCAAATCTTCCTAAGTTGACAAAAGAAAGCCCTACAAACTTTTTCACAACGATAAATTCACAGTGTTATTTGTGAATAATTTTTTGATCAGACTATAAATACTTACCCATATACTCTGGGCACAGCAGACAAACTTCACGAAGGAAAGCATTTGCAGTCATGTCAAATGTTCTTAATTTAAGTTCAGTGCCTAACCCTACAATATCAAGCTGCAGCACAGGTGTCTCAGTATTACCAGTAAGACGGCATAATTTAATTAAGACCTAAAAAACCCAAACAAACAAAAAAAAAAGGTAGAGAATTATCCTCTTAGTTTTTATATAGGATTATATATTCACTGCTTAATGTGTATTGATCATGGAATTTTATACAGCAAATGCCCTGGAAAAAATAAACAGTTCAACAAGCAAAATTGCTAGAATACTGTTTGCTGCTATTTTAAGAAAAACTTCAAACATGCACACATGTAATACCAAAATTACACTTACATGAAATAATTTATCTTTAAAAATGGCTATGTAAAGCTTTTAGTCATGTTCAATCCAATCAAAACTACATTTTCAGTCAGCATAAAGAGTTTACTGCTTTCACTGGAATTTCTTTGAATTATCCTGCTAAGAATTAGATTCCAAGGTGAATATCAGGCATGAGGTCTTCCTACTTTTTCACCCATGCATGAGAAAAATGTTGTTAAATAAATACATAGCTGAACTGTTGTTACCTATCCTTCATAACCAAAGCAAAGACATGCACTCTTCCTTTCCACGTAACGCTCTCTACAAATAGGGAAAATCAAAACCAAACCCAGTAAGTCATTGTAAACTATAAAGCAAACATAGAGAATCTTAACATATTCTCAATAGTATTTTTTTCTTACATATTGTAAAATAGTTTCTGTTACAGAGCATTGTAAAATACAGCATCTATCTTCAGACTAGTAGTTCTTAAACAAGTTCTTCTCATCACACAAAACCCAGTACATTTCAATTTTATTTGTTTATGCATTTTCTGTAATGTGTACTATGCAATAAGATACATCGCAACCTAGTTATGACGTGTTGAAGCCATTCTATAAGCCCTACCCTAAAACAGAATTTGTGAAGTTAACTGGATTTGTATGGTTTATTTGTAAAGTTATACAGTGAGTAGCCCAGTAACACTGTCATAGCCATGATGGTCTAATGACAAAGGTAACGATAGTGGTAAGAGGCCATCTCTTTCGCTACAACCAATTATTGCAGTTAGAAACAGTGTCTTACATTTGGCTGAAACACTCTTGTTTTTTTGGCCCAAGTCTGAAACAACAAGAATAACACATAGAACACTTTATGGTGAACATGTTACAAACTGGTGTGAGGCCAACAGAGTCTGGGAAAAACTGAAGAAGAAAAATATGGTACTTGTTACAAGATGAAACATTAATGAAGTTTTCAGAGTGACCACAGCAGTATCTGGAAAAAAGATGTAAAAGCTACATCTTAAGCCAAAATATTTAATGTGATTTTTGAGTGATAGGTAAATTAGAGTCAGTAATAAAATGAGCTGGGAAATAAAGTGGATAAATTAACGCATTTCAGTGACAACAAGGATGCAGAACCACAACTGTGACTTGGAAAAAAATTCTACAAAATAGTTTCAGCAAGAAATGGGGAATCAATACTTCTGCAGACATGGATTCATGAACACAACAAACAGGGAAAAATTACAGTTCATATGTGCTTCAGAAAAATGAAATTGAAAAGTAACTTTACCTCAGCTACTTCAAACCTTAGCTGGAATTCTGTCATGTTTTTCAAAGACTCTTGTTTAAGTAGTTTTTTTCGCCTTACACTGCTAGCTCGCTTGAGAGAACCAGATGGGGCTTCAAAAAATGGCATGTCTTCCACAGGACTGCTTAGAGCATCATAAAATTCTTCTTCTGATTCTACGGGTTAATTCACAACAATATTACACATACATTTTAGACAGCCAATGTTTTGCAGTACTATGACCTAGATTTTTTGTGTTTACACCTATAAAGGCTTAAATGTACAGGCATGGGAAGATGACCTAGCTGATAATTAGCAAACAACAAAGTCTGTTTCTACCATTGTCTCCGCTCTTGCCTCCACAACTTTTTACCACACCTCCTCCCTTTATCACGTCATCATAAATCAGTTCTCATCAACTACTTTGTCAGCACTCTCTCACTATGGCTATGCAAGACAGCACAAACCATGGCTCATCTTGCCACTGTGTGTACTAACAGTTTAATAACTCTTCTGCTGGTCTGACTGCTGCTGACCGTACAGAAGCCTGTGCCTCACTATCAGTGGCATTACTTTGGATCTCTTCCTGTTGAGGATGTCCCATTTCAGAAGCAACTCCTGCAGACTATCAAGCTTTTAATCTACCTGACATTATTACAGCAGTATAAACAAGACAAATATATTGCACCATCTTATACGGCTCTTGTCCTTCACCTAAAAACCATAAACAGTGAAGTTAAAGGTAACTGTGGAAGAAGTATCCTTCTTCTGAAAAAAAAAAAATTATAAGTGACATTAAGAGGTGTTTTCTAAGGCTTAAATGCACCCTTGAGTCTGGGGGACTAAAAATAGAGAAAGAAAATTAAACACTTAAAATGATTGCACAATTGTATGTATAGATTAAAAAACAGACTTGATTCAATCTAAATCTAGTTATTACTTTCTCAAATTAATTGTTGCCAGTGCTCTCTCTCATCTCACTCTAATTTTTAAGAATTGAAACACTTTCTCACTACCTTTGGGCACTTAAAGGAACTCACAGAAAAAACAGATGAAGATCCACAAACACATATTTCTATACATGCTGTACACACACTGAATTTAAAGTGATAAAGTAGATGTGAAAATTAACTTTGCTGGTAATTTTGCTAGTGTTTGTAAACCACATATATCATTAACTTGAGAAAGGAGAAAAAGTATTGTTCTTTTTTCTCCAGTTGAGTGTTTTATCATGACAAAGGTGATCGGCACTGAAATAACATTGATGTATTTGATTATTTTTGAAGTAACTACTAGATGAAACACTACAATCTAGTTAAGCTGTCTGAACAGCAAGGCAGTATTAAACATGACCAGTTTGTCCACAGCCAATCTTCTGTTTGATCCTGTACAAGTCAAAATGATGTCTCTTTATAACACCACAGTAGTTTCTAACAGTCATTGTTTCAGTATTTTGTAATTTAAATAAATCCAGCTAGAACAGGAGGGAAATCCTTCACCAGAAGAAAAATAATTTAAATCAGAGGACTAAGTATATACTGAGGCACAAAAATCACATCCATACTACTTCAGATGTTCTGAATAGAGATTTGTAGTAACATATGCAAAGACAGAAGAAACAAACCCATCCTAACAAATAAACATTTTACTGCTTTGCCTTCAGAAAGGGAATGGCAAGAACAAGCATACAGAATTTTACTGCAATGAGAAAGTACACAAATATTTTTTACAGAGGGAATTATAATACACTGCACAGAATATAACACTACTCAACCTTCAATATTGAAACAAATCCACAAATGGTCACTTAACGCAAGAGAAACAAATTAATTCAATGAACTCAAAAACTTGACTTGACCTGTTTATTAAATCAGGCTTTAAAATAGATCGCATTACCTGATTCAGCAAATGAATGAAGATCCAAAACAGGAAAAACACCTTGTGACAGATGTGGTGCTGAGAGCACAGGGGATATTGCAGCCTAAAACAGAATATACCATAAAATTCGTTGCTTGAATTCATCAGTCATGATATTCCATGCACATTTGCTCCATGGAACTTAAGGAAATCAGTCTTATTTTAAGTGCAAATCACTGCACTTAAACAGTTACATTACTATGAATAAAAGCATTGGGAGAAATGAGGCCTAAATCAGGTAGAAATAGCAGGTACTGTGCATTCATCTAGCTACAGAGAGAATACAGAAGGAAACATGGCAAAGAGGTTCAAACATCCAACTTCACAGATCAAAAGATGCACAGAAACAGCACATCATATGAAAACTTGGGAAAGACAAAACCAAGTCCCTCACAGGACTATGGTATGGCAACTCAGAGAACAATAAAAAATTAACTGTTCTTTTCAAAACAAATCCCATGACATTAGTGGCAGGTGGGGGAAAAAAAAAGAGAAAAAAGAGGTAGAGAAAACATGAGAGCAGACAGGCTTATTTCTAAATTGCATAGAATCATAGAATCACTCAGGCCAGAAAAGATGTTTAAGATAATCAGCTCCAACTGTTAACCTAGCATTGCCAAGTCCACCACTAAACCAGGTCCCTAAGCACCACATCTACATGTCTTTTAAATACCTTCAGGGATAGTGACTCAACCACTTCCCTGGGCAGCTTGTTCCAGTGCTTGACAACCCTTTCAGGGAAGAAATTTTTCGTAATTTCCAATCTAAACTTCCCCTGGCACAACTTGAGGGCATTACCTTTTGTCCTATCACTTGTTACCTGGGAGAAGAAACTGACTGACAGCCACCTTGCTACAACCTCCTTTCAGGTAGTTGTGGAGAGCAATAAGGTGTCCCTTTTCTGCAGACTGAAAAACCCAGTTCCTTCAGCCGCTCCTTGTAAGACTTGTGCCTTAGACCCTTCACCAGCTTCGTTACTCTTCCCTCGACACGCTCCAGCAACTCAATGTCCTTGTAGTGAGGGGCTTAAAACTGAACACAGTATTCGACGTGCAGCCTCACCAGTGCCAAGTACAGGGGCACAATCACTTCCCTACTCCTGCTGGCCACGATATTTCTGATAGAGGCCAGGATGCTGTTGGCCTTCTTGGCCACCTGGGCACACTGCTGGCTCATATTCAGCCAGCTGTCAGCCAGCACTGCCAGGTCCTTTCCCACTGGGCATCTTTCCAACAACTCTTCCCTAAGCCTATAGCACTGCATGGGGTTGTTGCAACCCAAGTGCAGGACTTGGCACTTACCCTTGCTGAATCTCATTTCTTCATGTATCTGGAAAAAAAGAGATGCTAGCAGAGTCTTTAATTGTGAGATGCAGTTATGCATAACCCATAAGTAAATGAAATGTCACTGGTTTGCCACTAGAGCAGAAAAAAGACAAGAATCCTCACTCCATGTGTTATCATATATGACAGAATTAAATTCTTAGTGAAGGTAACCAAACGGTTTATTTTCCGAAGCCAGATTTCCCATCAAGCTTCAAAGTTGTCTCAGTGGTTTGAGTTTGTAAAGAATTCTCATCTGCATGTTTCACATGCATATTTAGCATACATGTGCCTTGCACAGAGTACTAAAGTAAGGAGAGACATGTGTGTTATCTGTGTGCCCATTCTTCTTGATTGCCTTTGGCTCTGGACTGCATAGACGACAGTAGGTTTCCCCCCTCGCCCCGCCCCATTGCTGCTACTTTCAAAGCCCAGTCTCAGACAATTATTCAATAACTCACAGTATCTTACAGAAATCTAAGTATTATGGCAACAAAGTAACATTCATCTTCAAACATGGTTGTTCCCAAGACTCCATTTTTAATCTCACTTCACATTTTATCAGCCTCTCTTCTCAGTCTCCAGCCTACATAATTTGACCTTACTGAATATATCTATATCTGAGTGATAGATACACCAAGCCTCTAAGAGTCTTGTAACTGTGAAAGTGTCTCATCCATAACACTTTCACATTCTAAGATGACAAAGAGAAGAAATTGACTTCACAGTACCAAATCTCAGCAGGTTTGCTGGTGACGCCAAGCTGAGTGGTGCGGTTGATACGCCTGAAGGACAGGATGCCATCCAGAGGGACCTGGACAAGCTCAAGGAATGGGTCCCTGTGAACATCATGAGGTTCAACAAGGCAAAATGCAGGGTCCTGCACCTTGGTTGGGGCAACACCTGGAATCAGTACAGGCTGAGGGACGAAGGGATTGAGAGCAGCCCTGCCGACAAGGACTTGGGGGCACTGGTGGATGAGAAGCTGGACATGAGCTGGCAATGTGCACTCGCAGCCCAGGTGGCCAACCGTACCCTCGGCTGCATCAAAAGCAGCGTGGCCAGCAGGGTGAGGGAGGGGATTCTGCCCCTCTACTCTGCTCTGCTGAGACCCCACCTGCAGTACTGCCTCCAGCTCTGGAGCCCTCAGCACAGGAAAGACATGGACCTCTTGGAGAGGGTCCAGAGGAGGGCCACCAAAATCATCAGAGATATGGAACACCTCTCCTATGAGGACAGGCTGAGAGAGTTGGGGTTGTTCAGCCTGGAGAAGAGAAGGCTCTGGGGAGAGGAGTTTATTGCAGCTTTCCAGTGCTTAAAGGGGGCTTATAAGAGAAATGGGGACAGACTTTTTAGCAGGGCCTGTAGCGACAGGACAAGGGGTAATGGTTTTAAACTAAAAGAGGGCAGATTTAGATTGGATAGAAGCAAGAAATTGTTCACAATGAGGGTGGTGAACCACTGGCACAGGTTGCCCAGACAGGTGGTAGATGCTCCATCCCTGGAAATATTCCAGGTCAGATTGGAAAAGGCTCTGAGCAACCTGATATAGGTGAAGATATCCCTGCTCATTGCATGTCCTTTAAAGTTCCCTTCCAATCCAAACTACTCTATGAAAAACAAAGCCTTCCACACTGAAGTGGACAGCCTTCTTGTACGAAAGTACAAGAAAGTGCAGGGTACAAAAACCTAAAAGGACCAGTTCTGAACAGTCTTCTGTTTTCACAGACCAAGAACAATTCCTCCACCAACTCAAAATGTAAAGAACAAAGTTCACATGTGGAGCTCTGAAAAAGGATTTCACATCCTTTTCTGTTCAGAAGTGATGTGATAGCAACAAAGCTCATAATTTCAACTCAAGGATGAAAGCATGGGAGTATATCTGCCACCATCAAAGCAGCAAATCCACCCAAATTAGCTGAATTTAATACCAGCAGTTAGAAATTTTCAAGCTCTGCAGTAGATGGAAGCTTGAGAAGACAGGTTTAGCCATAGGTTTTAATATAGATGCTGCATATGATGCAAATCCATTCACAGCAGCTCAACAGTCTTTCCTCACCGCATCTCATACATCACAAGTAATGTACAGGTAATACTAAGCACATCAAAGTCAAGTAAAATATTTTAAATGTCATAGTTGAATTCTGTAATTAAATTAAGTATAGGCAATGTTGTAAAGTACAGGATAATCATGTTATATATATATATGATATCATATATATCATATATATTTTTATATATATAAATGCACATTTTATTTACGTAAAACTAAAATCCCATCACTTATCCTTGTAGAAAGTTAGTCTGTGATTAGTTGCACAAAACAACAGAGACTAGGGCAGCTTTTGGCTGGGGATACTATTACTGTATGAAGAGTGAAAAAGCAGGTCAGAACTAGCTAGAATTTTAACATCACCACTAAACAGATGGCAGGAACTACATGTTGAAGGAAAACAATCTTCACTCGATACATCCTTTCAATAGGTACGCATGTCTAGTCTTGTGCATTTGCAGTTACTGAATATTATGCTAACATAACCCATAGAAAACACCACCAAAACTGCAGCCAACAGCCATCAGCAACAGGGCAGAACAGTTTGTATGAAGTTGGAAAAGTAATTATTTAATAACCTTAAAAAAATCCAGAGATGACCATTATTCCTTTAGAATCAAGTACACAAAAGATTAAATAACAGATAATTACAAGTATTTACAAAATGGATAGCCCAGTTTTGTCTTTGACTTTGAGATTTCACTTATGTTCAAATGATAGGACTGCTTTAAAGATACATAAAACATAGCCAGATCATGCAGGCTAGAGTGATGAAAATCATCAATTTGGAGTTCATTTCCTACTTTTGTTAAAAACAGCTCATATCAAAAGGTAAAACATACTTTTCAGCAATAATAAGAAGAAAGTAGCAATCCTGTCCTGAAGAAAGCAAAAAACAGAGACCCAAACAATTTTCACTAAGGAAAGGGAGTGAGGAAGTAGGGAGAGAACTCACTCCTCATTCCTAAACCTTAGAAATGCAAGGCAGAACTGCCACCCCCTCAGGCATGTTGTATAACTGAATAAAGGAAAGCTGGGAAGAGCAGTGAAGTCAGCTGAAATGAAGTTGTCACTTTTGTCAGGCAGGAACTGTTTAGCCAACATTTGTCACAGATAGTGTAAGTTTTTTGCTTTGTTTTTGAAAGTTCAACTCCTGTCTGACTAAAGATCCACATAATATTTCAACTTTAGAAAATTCAAGATTTCAACCTTTTCTTTACTAAACAAAATAGCTGAACGCAAACTCTGGCAGCACTCTGATATGTGTGTAAATTTGACGATACAATTAAACTAATCCTCAACAAATGAGATATCTTTGTTAATCAAGATTAATATGAACTACAAAGCAATTTCCAGAGTAGTAAAAGTTTGGGGTTTTTTTTAATTTTAAATTCAACCACTGAACAACTATTTCATAATTACTGACTAAAGATGACAATACACTAGCTAAGTAAGAAGCAGAATTTCTACAGCTTTAGAGAATTAGCTAAGTTTTTCAATAGGTACTAAGTAAATGCTTATTTTCCACTCTCTTGTGCTCCTTTCAAAACTGCAATGCTAATAGCAAGAAGGTGTTTTTCTGATGATTATTAACAAAGTATTTTTTTTTAAACCTTACCTCAGTTATTTTTGGAGGAGAACTAGTAGCAGGAGCACTTTCTGGCTTAGGAATGCTATCAATTAGCTCCAAGATACTTGTCAGCTTCTGGTCTGAGATTTGGATAGAAAGTAAAGGCAGCTGTCCAGACAGTTTGAACCTGTTTTATAAACAAAGTTATCTTAAAACTATTTGAAACCTTGACATTAATTTTCTTCTCAAAAACACACAAGTCATGGTCAGAAAAATCACTCATGTAACCATTGCATGTAAAATATATATAA